AGCACTGTGAAGACTTTCTATGGAATAAACCAGCACCTGTCACTATATTCTTTCTTCATATGCTGACAGAAACATGCAATAATGCTAAAGAGACAACTTCAAGAAGACCAGCATTTTGCCAAGTGATCCTTGAGCTGTTTTGTATCCAACACCCAGTCTCAGGATTTTGTCTCCAGCTCCAGCTCTTGGGATCCTATCAATAGCTGTCATCCCTGCCTTTCTGCCTCCATTTTCCACTCCTTCCTTCCCTTCCCCTCAGCATGCAATTGAAGATCAAAATTACATCACTATACACATACCTGCACAGGCATGCACAGAGTTGTCCCAGTGATTTCTAGTGTAGCTCTCCACCATAGTACATTGGTGGCCCTAATTAGGGACATTTCCTGCAGAAATTAAGGGATCTAACCCTTTATCTGCAGGTCATATATATCAGACACTGAATCACCTCAAAAATATAATAAAAAGCTACAGCTTCAAAAATAAAGAAACATGCTTTGGTTAAGTACAGTATATCATAGACTACAAAAGTGTGGGTGCTACTTTGGGACTGTTAAATCATTCAAGCAGCAGAGGCAAGAGCCACTAAAACTCATCAGGGACAAAGTCATGCCATCTGGATTTCCAAAGCTTTTGAGAATGCATTTGGAAATGAAAAACACACAACAGCTAATGTACTAGATATTTCACACCGGTAGACTAAGATGCAGATATCCAATTACAGATAACACAACAGCTTCTTTTCCCTTAGTCATAAATTCCAGGATGATCAGATTCTGAATAGCACTCCCAGATACAAAAGAAAAATAGGGCAGATGATGAATATTTTATCACTGAATTCTTGCTATACATAATCATATTATTTTATTATCTCATGCTGTGCAGAAAAAAACATGGGAAATGAGGCTAGATTTGTCAATGATAATAATTTGTCAAGCTTTTTGATACAAGGATGAAAATACAATAAACATGATTTTAAAAGTTGAGATAGGAAGACTGGCTACTGCCATGAAATGGGAAAATGTGGAAGTGATTTAAGGGTATTAAAGGAATGTAAAAGAGACTATGATAGAATAATTTATATACCAAGAACAACGAAATACAGTGCAAGGAACACTAGCAAAAGCGGTATCCATTAAGACAAAAGGTAACCATTTTGACAGTCCTGGGAAGGAAAGATGAATAAACACCCTCTCATTGCACATATCCACTCAAGTTTCACCTTGACTTAGAAAAAGCTGTTTGCTTAGTATACTGCACTTTTATTCTGCATGGACAGGGAATATGTTCCGCTAACAGTATTCAAATACACATATTCTAATCCACTTTTCCAATGGTATTTGTTAGAGTGCAAGTTTTCTTATGAATTACCACATGAAATTACATGTTTCAGTGTAGTCAGTCCCAATGTTAATCCAGAACTGTAAACAAGCAATTTTAAGAAACCAACCTTTTGAAATCACATGCCTAAAGAGAGAATGCAGATGGAGCTCGACAGATGTGTGCAGAATCAATCCCAGAAGCAGAAGCTGGAAAGGACCCTGGGAGATCTCAAGTCCAACCTCCTGCCCAAAGCATATCCAGCTGGAGCAGGTTGCTCAGGGCCTTCTCCAGTTGGGTTTGGATACCTCCAAGGATGGAGGTTCCTTCCTGCAATTTGGCAGGGATGAAACCTGGCTAGAGTTGCTGTTTATATGATAAATAATTATTTATTTATCATATAAATATGGTGTTTCAGTCACTATCAAAGAATGGAAATGTGGCCCACAGATAAGGTAATCATACTAGCTTTGGCCACAGTGACCCAGCATTTCATTTGAAGTTTAGTAGTTCTGTTCCTAACTGCTCTATCTCTGTGTTTTATTAACAAGAAAACACTTTAAAAATGTAACAAAGCAAAACTGCATAACATCTGAAAAAAAAAAAAAAAAAGATATATAAATTTGGATGATACAGCTCAGAGGATACTGATCAAGAATTTCAATGCTGCTGGTTTTGTTTTTTCAAGAAAGTAGTTACCCTCATTCCTGACCTATGTTTGAAAACTTCACGTATCTCTAGGTAGGACTGTAAAACTCCACAGTTCACTAGGGATTATGGACAGCATCAATAATGCTCTAAAAAACTTTTACATACTAGGTTTTCAAATAATAACCAAAGGATTAGATGAGGACAAATGTAAATATCTATGTACAATGACTCAGACTGTCTGCGTGACACTTTGGTGTCTAACAGGAACTAGTGTTACATGACTGAGTATCCAGCTGTCAGATATGATTATTTTAGTTAGGTTCCCTCATACCCAGTTAAGACACTGTGCCCAGCCTGACTGAGAAATCAAATTGGACAAATTCCTTTGTTTATTAACTCTTTAGTAGAAAAAGGTTAAAGCAGGCCCTTCTTATAATCCAATAAAAAAAAGCTCTTGAAAGCAATAGGAGCCTGAAATACCTGAAAGGCTTGTAATTAGTCAACCTCTGAAAACTCGTGAAAAAGATACCAGAGATAGAGCTCCCCTCAAGGTTCCCACATACCTTTCCCCTCTTACTTAACAAAAACTATAAAAGCAGAATTGAGATCTAAATTGAATTTCAGATATTTTTATCTGCTACACAATCTCAGGAGCCATGTGTCAATTACCTCTAGAAAAGTCACTCAGAAATTAAAGCCTGACAGGCCCAAAGAGTTGTGGTGAACAGAGTTAAATCCAGTTGGCGGCCGGTCACGAGTGGTGTCCCCCAGGGCTCGGTGTTGGGGCCACTCCTGTTTAACATCTTTATTGATGATCTAGACGAGGGGATCGAGGGCACCCTCAGTCAGTTTGCAGATGACCCCCAGTTGGGTGGGAGTGTTGATCTGCTCGAGGGCAGGGAGGCTCTGCAGAGAGACCTGGACAGGCTGGAGCCATGGGCTGAGGCCAACTGGAGGAGTTTCCATAAGGCCAAATGCCGGGGGCTGCCCTTGGGCCACAACAACCCCCAGCAGCGCTACAGGCTTGGGGAGCAGTGGCTGGAGAGCTGCCAGTCAGAGAGGGACCTGGGGGTGTTGATTGACAGCCAGCTGAACAGGAGCCAGCAGTGTGCCCAGGGGGCCAAGAAGGCCAATGGCATCCTGGCTTGTGTCAGCAATAGCGTGGCCAGCAGGGACAGGGAAGGGATCTGACCCCTGTACTCGGCACTGGTGAGGCCGCCCCTCGATTCCTGTGTTCAGTTTTGGGCCCCTCACTACAAAAAGGACATTGAATGACTCGAGCGTGTCCAGAGAAGGGCAACGAAGCTGGTGCAGGGTCTGGAGCACAGGTCATACGGGGAGCGGCTGAGGGAACTGGGGGTGTTTAGTCTGGAGAAGAGGAGGCTGAGGGGAGACCTCATCGCCCTCTGCAGCTACCTGAAAGGAGGGTGCAGAGAGCTGGGGATGAGCCTCTTGAACCAAGTAATAGGGATAGGACAAGAGGTAATGGCCTCAAGTTCCACCAGGGAAGGTTTAGACTGGATATTAGGAAGCATTTCTTTACAGAATGGGTTGTTAGGCGTTGGAATGGGCTGCCCAGGGAGGTGGTGGAGTCCCCATCCCTGGAGGCGTTTAAGAGTAGGGTCGACTAAATGTTTAGGGATATGGTGTAGTTGGGAACTGTTAATGTTAGGTTAATGGTTGGACTAGATGATCTTCAAGGTCTTTTTCAACCTAGATGACTCTGTGATTCTGTGAAATTAAAGCATTCTTTCTCCTTGGCTTGCTGGTGGCACAGGAGCACCCTAGGATCCTGGGATTTTCATGCCCGTTCATCCTGACTTTCAGTGAATGCTGCACTTCAAAGACTTTTTGGTTTTAAAAACCATAAACAGAGGTTAGAATGCCAATATTTCCCTGTTTTTTTTTATTTCTAAATTAAAAGATTAAGTGGACATTCACCATTCCTTTTTCCATTTCAGAAACAATGCACAGCCTCCTATTTCAAGAGAGCCCGGCTAACGCAGCCAGCCTCTGCATTTACCAGGCCGGAACCAAAACCCCATAGCAGCACTCAGAGCACACACCTAGAAGAGGTGTACCCACATGAAGCATCATTATGCATTACTACATGTACACTGAAAGGTCAGACATTTACATCATGGGAGATGTTGAATACGCATCCATAAACAAATGCAATGTATTAATGGATGTTTCTTTTCACCTCCAGCCTCTCCCAAGGACTATAGTTTAGTATTAAATGCTGAACTCAAGCATTCCCTTTGTGCAGGTGTATTGGATGTGAGGCAGGAAGGAAGATCCTTTACTGCATTTATGTAAGCTGTTGCTGGCATGAGGGAGAGAGGCAGGGAGACCAAGCATCATTAAGAGTGGTGTTTCAATCTGTTAAGAGACTGGGGAAGCTTATCCATTGCCCTGCATTTCCTTATGTGTGTATGTTTTGCCTCTGTTTTCTGTAGGAGAGCTTCACAGCTTCTCCAGAACCTCAGTCAGGGAATAAGAGTGCTACAAATATTTGTGCTAGGTAATTTATCTTACTGCACACGTTATTCTGATAAAGCTGCTCTTCAGAGTAAAGCGTAACACCTTTCCAGTGAGATACATGGACCTTACTTTCCAATTTCACTGAGGGTCATTATACAGTGTGATCAACCTTGGCCTTGCTGCTTCAGGTGCAGAACTTAAAACAAATCAGGGTTCCACTGAGGTACTTTAGACATAAATTAAAAAATGCATGGACTGACCTTTATGTCACTGAATGAAGCCTTATATTTTTACCAGTTTGACAAACTAGATCTGGGAAAAAAGGTAGATATTTCAGATGATGTTCTTTAGATAGGAAAAAAGAATACTAAGAAGAAAACAAGAGTTAGATGTGAAAGGGTGAAATTACATGTTTCAGTGTTTCAGTTTATCCAACTGCATAAAGAAGCACAGGTATCACAGCCCAGTCCAAGCACCAACCCTAAGACATTTGTCTGACACAAACAGTACCTGCAAAACCTCTGTTTTGTTAAACAAAGCCTTACCTTTCGGCTATAGATTTCTTTGGGAAATAAAAATCCTCTCCTGCAAGGTAGGCAGCTGCAGTTCCACCTCCAAAATAGGTTTTTCTCAAGAGGGGGGCAATCCGGTTGTTTACCAATAATGCTCCTAAACCAGTTGGGAATCCAAAGATTTTGTAGAATGAGATGGGGATAAAGTCAGCTTGGTGAACTCCCAAGTCTAATGGAGAACTGCTCACGTATGAAGCTGCATCTAATAGAACAAACCACTTCCCTGGTATTTTCATGGGGCAGAGTTTTCCACATTTTATGTCCTGTATCCACGAAAGGGGATATTTGGTACCAGAAAAATTGCTCTGAGCTGGATAAGAGAAAAGATGAGGTGTCGTGCAGTTATGTTCTTCAGCTGGTAACCTGTTTTTTTCTGATAACAAGATTTCCTTTGGTTTTATTGGAACAGACGAGACATTCATTGAGGCAGTTATCCCCCTCATACCCACCACAGACGTGTGGCTGTCAGTTAGGTAACAAAATCGACTGCTGGTTTGCTCTGTGCCTTCAGGTATCCAAGGGAATGCTTCTGCTACCAGTTTAAGTGCAGCTGTGCATCCAGATGTGAAAATGATGGTGTAATCTTCAGCAGTAGTGTGAAAGTGTTGCAATATTCTGAAAAATGGAAAAAAAAAATTCCAGTTATTTTCTGATTTTTCTATTTTATTGTTGTGTGATATTTGTTTTTCCTCAGCATAAATTCTTCCACTCTGACACCGGATATGAATAGAAATAGACATTTTTTGCCAAATAGCACAATAAACTTCAAAAAGTGTAACCCAAATCATTTTGCCCACAAGAGAATCTTTCCAACGCTGCAGTGAACGTGGCTGTATTTTTAAGGATAGAAGCCAAATTCTGCCTGGTTCTGAATAGAGTGGCCAGTCTGGTCCCTCAGTGGGATCAGAATCAAGCCTGCATATGATTAAAATTACACTGTCCTTGAGAAAGACCAGTTTTATATGCAAACTATTAAGGGTTTTTAGTTTACAAAGTGTTTGGAGCAGATAGAATATCTTTAAGTTAAAAAAACCCCAAACTCTACTTAAATACTGGGCATCCCAATTAAGGGTCACAAGATTCAATAGGGAAATCTTAGCATAGAGATTTGCTCCTTGCTTATATTACTAACGACAGAAACGGAAGAAGCAACATATGCTTTCTATGTGCCCTATGCACATAAGGCTGTGATCTCTCTAGTCCACAAAGATAGCCTAAACCAGAAGTAGCCTAATGTCTTCCAGCAAGTCAGACTATGAAAACTTAAGCAAGTTGGTCTCTTGAGACACGTCTACACTCCGCACTCATTGATGCCTGGATGGCACTTTGTTGGCTTTAAATTAGCTTTTCTGAAGAGCATCTAATGCACATTTTGGTACCCATGCTAGCTTGTGCTTCTATTACATTTTTGCAGTGTGCAGGATGGGTCTTTTCAGAGGCTGAGGAACAGCTTCAATTCAGTCACCTTTCTTACCTTGCATAAAACTCCTACTATGATTAACAGAAAATGTTACAACCATATGGTGCAGAGCAAGCAAAACTGAACCAGAGCATAAATGTTGCTGCTCAGCAATGTTGTCTGGTTTTCAAGGAAGGAAAGATATAACAGAGTTTCTCAGTGCATCTCTCCTGCTACAGTGTTTCTGTGAGCAACATAACATATCAGTGTTCTCCAAGCAGCTGTCACTCTGATCTGTGTAATTCCAATGTACAGACCAGCATTTGGAGAGTTTATGAACTCTTGTTCCTAATGTGTATCATTAAAAGTTTGCACATTTTATATAACAGGAGATTCCCTTACCTAGGACAGGCAGAAACTAAAGACGAGTTGCATTTAAATGTAAGTTGTACAAAAGGCTACATGATAAACTCAAGCTAAAATTTACCGAACCATAGGACACCAGAGAGAAATGCCTTAATGTGTCCAGTCTGAAACTGAAATACTACAGGTAAAGGGTGGTAGAGCTGGGTGCGTGGGGTGCAGCAGTCAAAGGTTAAACACTGGAAAAGAAAAAATTGCAATGACTTTGATGACTAGGACTAAAAATCACCCTGCAAAGGCCCACTGAAATGACACTCTTAATACTTCTCTCAGTTGAAGGAAAGTCTTATTGTATTGGGAAGTACAGGATGCAACAGATAGATTCACAGGCCCAAATGAGACTTGAGTTTCTTCAGAACTTCAATTTTTGAAATGTGATTCAACTGTTAGAAATTTGAAGTCTTCTGGAAATGAAGAAGGATTTTCAGCTATTATGAAGGACACGAGCAGGTCATGGATTTAAGCTTTAAATGTTCTGAGAAACTGTTTGAAAGAATTCATAAGGATCTTTCTGAAATAGATCTGCCAGGGGATAGTTGCTGCAAGCATTCACAGGGTCCAGATATCATTTTTAAAGACCATGTTCAGAGAAGCCAAACTTTTCCATTAGACTTTAGAAATCATGTTAGGGATGAAGATGGGGACAATCACAGAAGTTTTTGTATTGGGTACTGACCAGACAGCCTGCTTTATTCATCACTGTGACCTGCTCACTCTGGTCACTGAATCACATCCAGTCCTCCTTCCCCTGCTTACTATCCGTAGAGCCTTTCACATTACCACCTGCATTACACCTTGAAGGCCTTGTGTGTATCATATAGGACACCTGACTGAAGGAATATGAAACCCTCAACCCAGACAGCAGCCTCTGTTGAAGTTAAGCTAGCTATAGGGTTACCGCTCAGAGCCATGCCCTGAATTTCAGTCCTCATACCGTTCTGCCTTTAATCTCCTTTCTCTGCATTCCCCTAGATACAGAAAAGATGAAAAGGAGGGAAAGCAAGAGTCCTAACTTCATCTTCAGGGAGAGAACAAGAGAGTATTAGACTGTTTCTAGGGGAAAGGAAATGTGGAAAGTGGATTAGTAAGGAGGCTGTGTCTTTGTTGTTACGGACATAATTTCGTATGTATTATCTATGTGGCTTATTTTTGCATGCACTACAGTCATAATGGATAGGTCTTGGAATCATTACACTGATATAAACACAAATTAAAAAAAGATTGTGCAATTCCGGGAAAAATCAACAATGAAGAATCCAAATTTCTATGTTTCTACCTCTGTGAATACTAGGACAAGTTATGTATTCACATGTATGTGCACACACATAAAACCCTTTTGATTAAAAAATCTAGGTGACAGAAGCAAATTCTTAATACGTAACGTCTTTTCATAAGAGCAAGCTGACAAGAGCAGCAACAAAAAGCATGTTGAAGACTCTTATCAAGCCTCCTCCTCTTCTACTCTCTATGCTTTCTCTGCTCTCCTCCCCAGTCAGCCTCTTTGTGCCACACAAGCTGAGTGGGAGGCGAGACACAGCTAGGCAAAATGTCAAATTTTGCTCAGGAATAACAACCTACAATTCCTCTATCGGAATTGTACTCACTTACCACAGCACTTAATTTGACCAAAAGACACTGTAAAATGACAAACACTGGGATGCAGGAATGGTGGACTGGGGCTTAATAATGGGATGCTGTTGCCCAACCATGATTATCAGAGCCAGTGAGTACTTTTATTAAACATTTTCACAACTTTACAAACAATAAATTTTATTTTGGGTTCTTTAGACTCACAAATAATGACAGCTCTATGTTTAATTCATAAATGAGAGAAACAAAGCTCATACACATGGGTAGTATTTTATTTATTTTTAAATCATTCAAATTCAGAAACAGCTGACCAATTCTGAGATAAAATCCATGACATAACACTGATGTTATGTCTATTCAGTTCAGTATCAGAAATTGATTTTCATATGAAAAAAATCAAGCTTTAGGGTAAAATTTTCAAAAGTGCCTAAATGAATTACAGCCATTTTTTAAAAGGCATTTAAGTTCCTAAAGCTAGAGAAACAACCAAGTTACATTTCTAATTGACTTCAATAGGAAATAATATCATTAATCTCATTAGGTATCTATCTGCATAAATGCCTCATAAAATTGCTATGACTTCAGTACTTGCAAAAGAGGTAGAATTTTCAAAGTCAGACTTACATTTCATCTGAAGTATTTCTAATGTTAAAAAGGGAAAATACATGAATAAAGCAATAGCAACTGAGTTAAGGAATTTCCATCTCCAGAATGACTTGTGATGCACAGAGCAGAAGACCTGCGAGCACCTCAGAATAAGGTTTACAGAATGAATGCCACAAACTCCTGAACTAGAGCAGCACTGCTATGATAGAATAAGAGTACTTAGGGACAGAAAACTGTAATAGGTCTGAATGACTTCTACAGCCCACAGTACTACATCCTCTGTTTTGACATGAATATTGGGAAGCACTGGCTATTACACACAGATTTCCTAATGCTCTCTGTCTTCGTGTAAGACATACCCCATTACAGTGAAATGCAGTTCACCTTTATTACATTCCTGGAAGATTTATAGCCATATATAAGGTTGTTGTTGGCATCAGGACTAAAGAGTTGTGGTAGAAAACTGATAGCTTGATCTGCTATAGTTCACAGATGCAAACAGCAGTGCTATTCTATAGTATTACAAATTTTCACTTTTCAAAGGACTCTTTGGAAGAAACAGCTAAGAAGATAACTGTTTCATTAAAGATACTGATACAGCTGTGCCATCACAGGGAAGACATCAGAAAGGCTGAGAAACTTGACCCAGCACCTTTCTTCCAGGTTGGCAAGGTGGGGGAAGAAGTTCCATACTCCATCTTTGCAGTACATTGAAGACCCACCACGAACAGTCACTTCTTCTTCCCCTCATTTTACCTCCCAAGAGCACACAGATCACAACACAAGGTCAATAACGCGTGGCCAAGAAGCCTGTCCAGGGAGAAGCCACACTTTAATTCCAATTGGTGCAAACATTTCAGTTCCTAGTTGGCAAGATCAAAATACAGCTAAGGATTTATATTTGTACTCACATTTTTATTTAGATTGTATATGAGCTTTCATAAATATTGTCAGTACAATGATTTTCTAGCCAGTAGCTGATCTAGCTGAAAAAGTCCCCTTTTAAAAGTTTAAATACTGCCATCGTAACAAGAGATTCAGATTTGAAGACAGAAGCAACAGTACAAGTACTATTCAACAGTGCAAGTTTATAAAGCAATTTATAAAGCCTATTTTTCAGCTGCACATTTACATATAAAAATTATTTCTTATTATAAATTTTTTCTATTGTTACACTACCCAGGAGCACAAATCCAGTTTGGACTCATATTGACAGATGCTTCGCTTAAGCCTCAGAAATTTCATCACACTGTTTTCTGCTCTATAGAAAGTCTGAAAAGATGTAACATACTGCTTTTTAAGGAACAGATTTTGTACAAATGACAATTAAAAAAAAAAAAGTCTTCTGAGTCAAACAAAATATTGCATTATGATTTAGATTTTTTTTTAAAGTTAGGGGGTAACACTTTTCATAATGCTTTCCAGACACAAGTGCAAGTCAGAAGTATAGACTGCTGCTTCTATATTTCTGGGTAAGAGTATTTTAACCTTCCTCATTTATTAATTAAGGGTCAGCTGCAGCTATAAAAGCAGTCAATTGAGAAATTCCCATCAATGTTAGTGAGGGATCCTAACTGCTGTAATTGTTACAGTCACC